AGGGTGAGCTCTCTCCTCCATTGCCATGGCAGTTTTGTTTGACAGTTGTCACTGACACTGGAAGATGTTTTGTAGCTGATTAGACATAGCATTTCACATTGCACCCTCTTTGTCCTGAAAAGAAAATAGACCAGTAAGGCAGCATGGTCAAGGGTGAGTTTCAGATTCAGCCGTGGCTGTTGAATTCCCTCAGACATTTGTGCTGATCCACTGCTGCCCTGTCTCATCCACGAGCTCAAGTTTGGACCAAGTAGAGTTGAGGGGGTTACTTTCCCACTGGGAAAAGCATCAACTTCTTCTGGTCCTGATCATGGCTAGTCCATCATCCATGTTGTCCTTTTCTAGGCATATCTGGGATTCCTATACTTGTGTTTTTATGCGCAGGTCTCAAGTGAATTTCTGTTATGAGCTATGCGTATCCATGCACTGTTTTATATGTGGTCTGTGAAAAGGGGCATTTCCCTGGGAGGGTGTAATTATTGAGCTCAGAGTTCCGTATCTTGGGAAAGTGCTCCTCGCATGGGTTTTTGGTGTGGCCGTGTCCACAATCAGTCTGGACATCAGGCTCCGCCTGCCTGTATGCGTAGTTTCTGCATGAGGATCGTTTAGTCAGGTTACTGTCTTTTGTCTATGACTGTGGTAGTCAAAAGAGAGGCAGCAAATTTCTCACCAGCTCAGTTTTTCTTGCCTCCCTCCTTCCCCAGAGGCAGTCTGGTCCGGAGACTGGGGCTAGTTGAAGGGTTTGCTTTTGTTCATCTCTGAGGCCCCTGTGCCTCTGAAACTCCATGGTTTTATGAAATACATGCTCAGAACTGATCCTATACCTGTGGCAATTACTAGGGTTTCCTAAATCTGCAGGTTGAGCCAACGAGTACCGTGCACCGTGGGCAAGCCACCGCAGGTGTCCCTGTGCGTGGGGGACTTTCCCGGGGCTTGTTAGAGAGCGAGCCTCGCCCATGTGACTCCCCTGACAGGTCAGTGGGGACCGGAGGGTTGGAAAAGGCTTCCTGAAAGAAATCAGCCCTGCTTTGGCCCTGTGAGATGCCATATTTGGAAGATGCCAAGGAGCAGAGGCAGGGGGCTTCTGAACCCCGACCCTGGCTGAGGACAGGGGTGCTCCTGCATCCTGGCATTGTGGAGCCATAACTTAGGCTGATGCTAGGGTGCCCTGCAGGGTGTCCCCTCAGTAGATGCCAAATGATATAGTAGTCATAGATTTCTTTTATCCTGAAGTTATCTAACAAACTCAACCAGTCCAGAGCATGAATCAGGAGCCAGAACAGAAATGAGAAAGCCCTTAGACTTGGGATTGAAATAGACATCGGACTGCCGTACTGGAGCGGATATCACTTAGCCCGAGCAGAGCGCCTCGCTCCGGTGCGGCAAAGCCCGTTTTCTCTATTTATACCAAGGTTGAAGATGTACAAGAACAGAGGATCATTGCCTGAGGCCACTAGGTTGACAGCAGCTAGGAGTGACTTCGGTAGCCAGTAGTGAGAGAGAACGTGGTGAAGGATGAGGAAAAAAACGGCTGTGAGTACTCAAGGTGACTGCAGCGTGGGCACCAGGAGGAACCCCGGCCTCCTAAGGGCTCCGACACCCCCCTCTGATACATACGAGGCACAGCCCAGTACCTAATTCGGGCTGGTGATCACCCTGACTCACCAACAAGACTTACATCATACGTTACATAGTCTACTCTCTTCAAAAAGGTGAAGAGGGGATTCCCTGGTGGCGCAGTGGTTGGGAGTCCGCCTGCCGATGCAGGGGACACGGGTTCGTGTCCCAGTCCGGGAAGATCCCACGTGCCGCGGAGCGGCTGGGCCCATGAACCATGGCCGCTGAGCCTGTGCGTCTGGAGCCTGTGCTCTGCAATGGGAGAGGCCACAGCAGTGAGAGGCCCGCGT